AGGCGTTGAGAGAAAAAAAAAAAATAAACAAACACGAAAATTCGATAAAAATCCCCAAACCTGCAGAAAAATGCAAAATTCACTATGTTGTTGATTATTTTGGCGAACCCCCTATTTCACCGCAATGCCTCGCATATTACTATTATTATTATTATTATTATTATTATTATTATTATTATTATTATTATTATTATTATTAGTATTATTATTAGTATTATTATTATTATTATTATTATTATTATTATTATTATTATTATTATTATTATTATTATTATTATTATGTCAGACCAGCAGCAGACTGAAGGCAATTTTGCAGCACATTTGAACCATCAAACATGAAGAAGCAACAAGAATTTAAATTTGTATATTCGATAATATATACATAATATTGCCTGCATTTTTTTAAAGTTTAAGATATAAAACACAGAATAAAAATATATGTGTGAATAACGAAGTTATGCTCCTTTTTAGTGCTGCCCCGAAATAGTGCGTCTTCAAACGTAGTCGAATGACCAGAATGCGCGAACTCAACGAGTTAATTCGCTGGCCATGCATCTTAAATCATAACCTTACAGTAAAACAGTTACTCTTACTAAACTAAAACAAACCTTACAATGACGAACCTGGCATTAAACCTACACATCTACAACTATTACTACTATAGCTAGTCCAACACACAAAAAAAAACCATTATGGTTTTTTTTTCCAGATAACTTTTGGCTGTCAGCACTAATTTCTATCAAACTTTTACCAGTAATGTAGAAATTGACCTTAAACTGGCATTATTGTTGTTGTTTGTTTGTTTTTGTTGTTGTTTTCGATCCAGCAACAGCCTTAAATAACTAAGTAAATGGTTCTGATCAGAGTGTCAATAAGCAATGTTTTCTCTTTTTCTTTGTTAAAAAATAACTTACTGAGTAAAAAAAATGTGACGAATTGCAATGCAGCAAAGCTTACAATATAAATCCACGTCGTGATACTTTGTATATTAAAGGGTTTTTTGTTTTTTTGCTTGTGCACACGTTTTCACTTTTGGAAATTTCCAATTATCATAACGAAGTGGCTAGCCTTGACTGCCAGTCTAGCCGTCATTAAGTACGGCTAGCCTCTTCCTTATCATAATATGTTCAAAAGGGAGTTTTGCTTGTTTGAACCAAATAAGGTAAAGTCAAATCATCTTGAAATGTTATTGTGTTACAGACCTGTACTGTAAATATGTTAATTTTCAACCTGAAATAGACCAGCAGAAAAGGCCACCCGAGCCGGAGAGAAGTCATGCCCTTTTAAATCAACCATTGAATGTGAAAAAAAAGTTTGCTTGAAAAGACAAATCAGAACTGACATGAATTTAAAATCTGAGGGCTCTAAATAAATGGAAGACATGAAAAACGATGATCGTTTTTGTGTCGGACGAGCTATACATGGTCGACTTTATAACATTGCTATGACCAAAATGGTCAAACAGTAATTTTAAAAAAATAATTGTTTTCTCGCTTTTCTAACTTGACTGCGATCTGTGTGTAGTGCGTGTGTGTGTGTGTGTGTGTGTGTGTGTGTGTGTGTGTGTGTGTGTGTGTTTATGTGTGTAGTTGTGTTTGTGTGTGTAGGTGTGTGTGTGTTTGTGTGTGTAGGTGTGTGTGTGTGTGTGTGTGTGTGTGTGTGTGTGTGTGTGTGTGTGTGTGTGTGTGTGTGTTTTGAGGGGGGAGAGCAATTTTAAGTTGAAAAAAAAGTCAGATACGACACTGGCGCAGGAAGGTTGATAGATCCTTATATAATTATCCTGTTTTCATTCTGCACGTCATAAAAGGCATGCAATAAAAAGGATCTTCCAATGGTAGAAAGGTGTCTGAGGTGTAACGGTCAGACGCTTCACCATCGCGCAAAGAGGATGTGCGTTCGATTCTCGTGTGGGAGGTATCTATCTATCTATCTATCTATCTATCTATCTATCTATCTATCTATCTATCTATCTATCTATCTATCTATCTATCTATCTATCTATCTATCTATCTATCTATCTATCTGTCTATCTGTCTATCTGTCTATCTATCTATCTATCTATCTATCTATCTATCTATCTATCTATCTATCTATCTATCTATCTATCTATCTATCTATCTATCTATCTATCTATCTATCTATCTATCTATCTATCTATCGATCGATCTATCTATCTATCTATCTATCTATCTCTCTAAGGCTTTCGGAAGACTAACGAAAGAGCTACCCTGCTTTAGTGTAGATGTTTCTATGCCCCCATCAACACAATTTATATCATTTAGGAGGCAGGCTTCGACCCCGCCTGTTAGGGCCAGCCGTGGCTGAGAGGAATACGACATCCCAACAGATAAATTGAAATACTCGATGAAAATTCTCCCTACTCGGGAACTGAACGTGTGTCTCCTGCGTGCGACGGCGGAGCGCTTAATCAGCCGGTCTTTGGAGTTCATTTTTCCAAAGATTACAATACTTCATGCCAACTTTCCGCATTGAATGTACTGTAATAGGTCTAGGAGTATGTTACGTTGTGCGTTAAAGTAAGATAGCCTCCTGAACAGTATGGTTGTCTCTCAACCTCCAAAATTATTATAATTTTATTTGTTTAAATTTAGGTGTTTTTTAAGTCCTTATCGACACAGTCATATAGGAAGCGGGCTTTCGACCCTGCCTGTCAGGGCCAATCCGGGTTAAGAAGGATATACCATCCCAGCAGAAAGACCGAGAAACTTGACAAAAGTTCTCCCCACTCGGGAATCGAATTCAAGTCACCTGCGTAAGACAATGATTTTAAGCGCCTAACCGCCACACCACAGACTCTTTTTGTGAGTTTGAAAAAGCAAGAGTATGGGTTTGACGCCGCTATCAAGTTTATTATGGTATTTAAGAAGCGGGACCTGGGAATTCAACGTCCGTCTCCGATAGTACCGAGTCAAAATGAACTGAGAGCCTTGAAAACTTCACAGACAGAAAGACCAGGGTTTCAAGAATGCCCAGTCTGGAATTCGAACGAGGCCATTCGTTCCTTAGTCCAGCATGATGCCAATGAAGTAATGGAGTAGGTTTGACGGTGCATATGTGTGTGTTTTTATATGTGGGTGTATGTGAGTGTGTGTATGTGTGTGTGTGTGTGTGTGTGTGTGTCTGTGTGTGTGTGTGTGTGTGTGTGTGTGTGAGAGAGAGAGAGAGAGAGAGAGAGAGAGAGAGAGAGGGAGAGAGAGAGAAAGTGACATTCAGCGAATGTGTGACATGGACAGAGAGATTTGCTAGGCAGATCGACCACGCAGATATAATTTTGTTGTTTGTTGTTGGTAACGATTCGAACCAGAGCCATCCTCTGCCTAGTCCAGCATGATACTAAAAGAACTAACGGAGTAGGCCTAAGTTTTAAAGTGGTTTTGTATTTCTTTGAACAGGACACATTCTAATCTTACATCATAGAACTGAGAAAATGAACAACGTCCAGCAAATGTGTGACATAGACAGGGAGGTTTGCTGGACAGATCGTCGGCGTGGATATTTTTTTTTGGTGCTGTTTTTGTTGGTAACGATTCGAACCAAGGCAATTCGCTCCCCAGTCCAGCATGATACCAACTGAACTAACGGAGTAAGTTTGACAGTGTGTTTCTTTGTAGAGGATACACTTAAATCTTACATAATTGGACTGAGAAAATGAACAACATCCAGCGAATGTGTGACATTGACAAAGACATTAAATTTGCTGGACAGATCGCCGCGCGGACATCGTCTTATTTTAGTTATTGTTTGAATGTGTGATGTTCTGAGCCCCCCCCCCCCCCCATTCCAGGGCAGGTGCTACTGACTGAAGTTGTCTTTAGGCCATTCCCAAAGGGGGGATATTAACTTGTTCTTATGCACAGTAGAATTGTCAATGGGCTGATTTATCAATGTCATGCTCATACTGTACTGGAACAACATAGGGGGAACTGCTGCTTTTTCTTTCTTCTTCTTTACTATTGTCATTTCCCCTCTACTTCTTTTGTATGTTGGTCACTCTCTTGTGAACTGCAATGTCCGTGGGGCATTGATAGTCGATGCAGACTTTGTGCTGTTGAAGCTACAGAGGTCAGCAGAGTAAGTCTGATTCCCTGTAAGGACTTCTCTGTGGACATCCACCCGTTGGCGTTCATATGGCCTTATCCGTTGTGAGTGCCGAAAAACCTCTACTAAAACTAAACACTCTAATCTAGCATCATAGGATGAAAATGAACAACATCCAGCGAATGTGTGACATAGACAAAAGACATTAACATTTGCTGTACAGATCATCAGTGTGGACATCATCAATTTTTGGTTGTTGTTTAGATGTGTGATATTATTCTGAGTTCCCGCGTCCGCCCCTCCGTTAAATGTGCCGTCTGTGTCTGCTGACTGACCGCGTGACAAGCGTGCGGGCCAAGAACATCGCACGCGGGGCGGGCGCCGGTTATGGGCGTGTGAAAAGCGGACAAGTTGTGTCAGTTGTAGCGGCGAGCGTCCAGGTCGTCTGACGGGATCTGTCACACAGCGCGCGCTCTGTCGTGCGTGGAGGAGAGAGGAGGAGGGAGGAGAGAGGAGGCGGAGGAGAGGGGAGGGAGTGTCGTGGCGGGAGGATGGCCGTGTTCCAGGGCCGGGCGAGAAGTGGCGCTATTGTCACCGGCCATCGATCCGGGGAGGTGGGAGGGGCACGGGCTGATTGCTGGGCGGGGCTTACAAGCTGTCCCTTATCTCTCTCTCTCTCTCCCTGCCTCTCTCTACGTCCGTTCTCTCTCTTCTATCTTTCTCTCTCTCTCATTGCTGATGTTGATGATAATACTGTAGTAGTTGTCGCTGTCGCATGTACCCCCATCACCCTCACTCCCCCACTTAAACTCCCCTCTTTTCCTTCCTCCCCCCTCTACCCCTTCCTCCCTCCTTCCCACCCCTGACGTGTCTCTCTAACTTGCAGCCTGTCAAAAAGGCCCTTTCACGGCCTGCTGCTAGCGCTGCTACCACTTATGTTCTTGTTGCCAGCCCGCCAGCCAGTCGTCAGATCTGCCGGAGCTTGTGTTTCCAGCACCGTGCGGCAGTCCAAGATCTCTCCCAGTCTCCGTGTCTCGTCAGACAACTCACCGTCCCCTCCGCCTCCTCCTCCTCCTCCTCCTACCTTCATGAACAACAACAACAACAACGACGACGACAACCGAAACGACACGTCACTACCAGCACCCACCAGATAGTATTTCCTCAACGCCTCTATCCGCGCTGGTAGCAAGACAAGCGAGAACGACGGCTCACAGCATGTTGTGAGGTTTGATCCCACGCCATACCGTCAACACTCTGTGATGCAGACGTCAGATTTTGAGAGACTGTCACCCGGCGAGATGCCAATCCGTCCCGACGTACGCACAGACACACGGATGAGCGGACGCACACACGGGTAGGGGGACAGCGAGGGGAAGAACGACTCGACCGCTGTTGTTCATTCGCCTTCACTCACTCTTCCACGCCCCTGTCACACTCTAGCTGTGCGCGCGACAGTTTGTGATTGTTAGCGTGTACGCGGCGACGGCCACTTGGGACGAACATCTCCCTTATATAACAGCGACCCTTGCTTGGAGCTGAGCAACTACACCACGTCGGCCGAATGTACAACAAGACTTGAGACATTTCGTGCACATTTCCAAAGTCAGTCGAATGTACAACAAGACTTGAGACATTTCGTGCACATTTCCAAAGTCAGTCGAAAGTACAACAAGACATGAGACATTTCGTGCACATTTCCAAAGTCAGTCGAATGTACAACAAGACTTGAGACATTTCGTGCACATTTCCAAAGTCAGTCGAATATACAACAAGACTTGAGACATTTCGTGCACATTTCCAAAGTCAGTCGAATGTACAACAGGACTTGGAACTTTTCTTGGTGAATATACCAAAGGACTTGAAACTGTTCTTGCACAATTCCGAAGTTGGCCGAAAGCACTCGAGACATTTCTCACATATTTTCTCACGTCAAACTTCACAAACTTTCTGACAACACACACTCGTGTGTAAAATATCATCATCATCTGAAGATATACAAAATAACTTGGAGAATCTCGAGTGATGTCCTTTTGGAGACCATCCCCGTCGACTCGCTTCATGAACTTGTCATTTTCAATATAAAACTGTCTGACTCGACGACAAAAGCTTGAATGATCTTGAAGTGGCAAGAAGAACTTCATGCTTCAGGTGGAGACTAAGGAAATCGTCCAAAGCGCTGAACAGAATTATTTTCTGACGGAGTGCGTCTTATGGACGTCCTAATTATTTGCAATGAACATATTATTTGAATCCTTGTCGCCCAGAGAAATAGCCTTCACTTCACTCTGTGTGTGCCACAAGACGGGAAACAGGACCTGGAATTGAAAAGCTTCTCTTCATCCTCCGAACTGTAAGTGTTACAAATATTTATTTTTTCCCACTAATTTTACCAATAACTTTCTTCAGTTTTAGTAAGAGTTTTACGGCACTGGCAATACGAATAGGTCGTATAAGTGCCTAAGATTAGAAATGTTTTTTAGAGCAACATACAAAGAAAGAAGGAGGACAGAGATAAGAAAAATACATATTTGATAGGAAAGAAGGAACAAAACACACCAGAACACCCACCAACCACACATAACAATATATTCCGAATCCTACATCTTTTATCTCTCTTTCCTACTGTCGCAGAAATACTATTTATACATTCAATTACTCTTTAATTGCCCGAACAGACAAACTTACTTTTTAAATGATTATCTCTCCTTTTATGAATTATAAAGAGAAAGACTGCAGTGTCACTAAAATTTATATTGTTGATGTTAACTTTTGAAATGTCAAAGTTTCTTTTGTGTTTGTTTTTTTTTTGTTTTTTGTTTTTCCTATGAAAAACATGTTAGGCTACATATATTTCATTTTACACACGGAGAATTAGAAAAATAAAACCACACACGCACACAAAAAACAATCCAAACCGAACCTAGCAACAACAATACAAAATCAAAAATAGCAGACGTTATTGGGCTTACTTAATTATAAGACTCGTGATACAATCAGATAACTGGAGATTCCAAGAATCTCTCGAGGAGAAGAACAGGAAAAACATATAACACTGGTATGATTGATTTTTTTCTTTTCACAAATGTTTAATTTATCAGAAGTTAGAAAGAAATTATAGGGTTTTAATAAAATTCTCATTAACGGTTGAATCAGCACTTTTGCTGTCATGTTGGAAGAACAAAAGGGATGTGCCACAGTTCGGATTTGGGTGGATTTTTTTGGTCAGCTTTTTAAAGAAATATTACATTTTGTCTCTTTATCATCTTTACAAAAAGTAAATTTCATACACATTCATTGCTGAAAAAAAAAAGATTCTGTTATCTCTACACTACCTCCCTCACTCCCTTTGAAAAAAGGAAAAAAAATTAATCCACAGGAATAGAATGAGAAAAAAATAATATTTATTTAGCGTATTTTCTTTAGGAAAGTGCTCAGTGCGCAGTACAATAATACAAAGAACAGTTTCAATTGTGAACCTTTTATCCCCCCCCCCCCTTTTCTCTCTCTCTCTCTCTCTCTCTCTCTCTCTCTCTCTCTCTCTCTCTCTCTCTCTCTCTCTCCCCCCTCTCTCTCTCTTTCTTTTCTTTCTTTCTCTCTCTCTTTTCTTTCTCTTTCTCTCTTTCTCTCTCTCTCTCATTCTCTCTATTACTCTTTCCACTCACCCTCCTTACAGCTTTACTAATAATACACTGGCCATGGGGGTAAGAGAACTAAAACATGCCCCAGCCAAAGGATGCAATTTTAATTGATTTTTAAACACTATAGCTCGGATCAGGATTCGAAAAATAATGAAAAAAATAATAAATTAATGACACCCCCCCCCCCCCCCGTAAAAAATAAAAGAAACATAAAAAGAAACTAGACTGTCTTGTAGCGCAATAATCTATACGGTTCAGTTGTTCAGGACGCTATCAAGGCTAAATCAAATCACTTTGAAAAGTACTGGACGGCTGCAATTATTGTTCTCTACGAAACTACAATCAGTAACTATTGTACATTTTTATTTTAACAATAAACTCAAACAACAACATCAACCACAATAACAACAGCATCAACAACAACAACAACACATCTTCGGGGCTCCGAACATTTCGAACGGATAGGCTACCACACACACACACAACAACAACAACAACAACAACAACAACAACAACAACAACAACAACAACAACAACAATAACAGCAACAAAAACTACAATGACAACAACAGCAGCAACAACAATAACGACACAGAAAACAATAACACCAGTAATAATAACAACAGAAAAAAGACAACAGCAACACTAATACAGTCAAACTACTACTCAAACCTGCTCTAAAGGCCACCTGTCCAAGACAATCATCTTTACAAATAGCCACTTCTCACTTCCCGCCTTGTGTTTCTTTTTCTGTATTGTTTCTGTACTTTCTTTAGTCAGAACTCAGCGTTTTATGTTACTGTTGTATGTTGTACTGTATTGTAAAGCGCCCAGAGCCTGTGTACTTTATTCGGGGTTGAGCGCTATATAAATGGCATTTATTATTATTTTAACGCCACTGTCTGTTTGTTTGTTGAAGTATAAAAGTTTTACGGCGCTCCCAGCTGCATAAGGTCATATGAGCACCACTGTCTAAGACACACACCTGTATAAAACATACACTTTTCTTCACAACAATAGATGAGCATCTTTTTCGACTGAAATAACAATAACAGCAATTATTTAAAAAAAAGAAAAAAAAAAAGAACAACAGTAGCAGAAACAGCAACAGCACCACTGACAACAGTAGTAGCGACAACAACAACAACAGCAGCAATAGTCGAGCCCCTTTTCGGCCAAGGACACACACAATAATAATAAGTGAGGCAGCGTAGTGGAATCAGGCTCTCGTCAAAATAATCAAAGTGGAAAAAACCTGCATTTTTCCAAAGGTTTGTGAATTTTTATCAAATTTTTGTTTTTTGGTTCAACACCTTTCAAGCCCATTAAAGAACTCATTTCTGTGTGGATTTTTCTGAAAAGCGTTGATTCGAACTCTTAAGCTAAGGAAATAACTAATCTTTGGCGGCCATTTTCTCACTAATTTTACCTCTGAAAACCGGTGACCCCCACCTCCTTCTTTTGTAAATATCTCGACTTGTATTCAAGATAAATGGATACTTTTTCATCCAAATGCAGACAGGTGAACAAGCTTTAAGATGATACTAATAGCTCTACATGCCCCAAAATTGACGAGAGCCTGATTCCACTACGCTGTCTCAAATATTATGATAACAGTCACAATAATCAGTTAACAACCAAACCAATCAATTAAGAAAGCACGGCTTTACCCTACCTCTGTTCACACGGTGTGCGCTGCAAAAGGAAACAACCCATGCAATCAATAATTAATTGAGCATCCTTTTTTTTTCACTCTTTGTTTACGGAAGGCAATTCCTCCTTTGTACACAGTCAGTCTTGTCATCTGCTAATTCTTTTAGCATCACAAACTTTCACAATAACTCTGATCGTATTTAACCAATTTGTATAAAATAAACACCAAACTGAATAGATAATAAAGATCCAAGCAGATAACATTACAGTATGATTTTAGATAAAACGAATTTGCTGAGGTTTGGTAGATGTTTGTTACGACTGTAGACTACCGGGTGATTTTGAGAGTCAGCAGAACTGGAGCGCCATAAACTAAGACTGGAGCTTAGACGTAAATAGAAAATCGCGGTATAAAAGAAAAACATCATACCTGCCAAAATTTCAGGCTTTATCTTACAGTCAAAAGACTGTTTGATAAAAGTCATAGTGAGACTTTTTTCGTTTCATTTTGATTTATTCGAATCTCCCCTCAGAGGTCTGGAATATGAATAAAACACAATTACTCATAATCATTATAAGTACAGAACTCCCAAAACAATATCATTTATTGTTTTTGTAGATGCAACAATCTCGTCTTATACCCGTGGAATGGTTTGTTGGTTCTTGATAATGTAATAACTGAAGAGAAACTGTAACGATTTTAAGAAGGGATATACATGTACCTGTTTAAATCACACCCCTTTCTCCCTCTCCACTCTCTCTCTCTCTCTCTCTCTCTCTCTCTCTCTCTCTCTCTCTCTCTCTCCCCCCCTCTCTCTCTCTCTCTCTCTCTCTCTCTCATCCCCCAATGTGAAATTTGGATCACAATGGCAAACGTAAATAAATAGTATTTAAGAATAATGATTTCACCAATGCAGACAATTTGATAAAACGCCATTGATGGTTGACACTTGCAGCTTCCATGTATTTTTTTTTTTTACCTAGGATTATTGTGTCTTGCTCAAAGACACACCTCCGTGACCTTCCATCTAAACCCCGTGTCATCGACAGTAATTGTTGCTTGACATTATTTATGAGTCAACAAATCTCTAAACCACGAACTCACCAACTACTCGGCCACTGGAGCCCACTACGTCCTCAGTGTATCTCTCTCTTTCTCTCTCTCTCTCTCTCTCTCTCTCTCTCTCTCTCTCTCTCTCTCTCTCTCTCTCTCTCTGCCATTGCTGCTGTAGTTGCTGTTGTTGATGCAGTTGCTATTGTTGCTGCTGCTAGTGCTGTTGTATTCTCTTTATTCTGGTACTTTATTCTATTTTATATAATGCTTTAATATCGCTGTTGTTGTTCAAAAGCGTTACCACCCTTTTAGTTTCTGTTGGTTGATTGGGCTTGTTGTTAAGATGAAACAAACAGTGTGCAACTGCAGCCGATTTTATTTTCGTAATTAACAGTTGTGGTCATCCAGTAGTTTTCAAAATGGTTTGATTTTGTCTTTATACCATCCTGGTCAAATCAAAAACCGTCGTAATTATTAAAACGTAAACGTTTAGCGTTACTTAAAAAAACCCCCAACAAGCTAGATTATCTACAACTCAAAACAAATCAGCAGCCCAAATAATTACTTCAGTGCTTAAGAAAAGTATCTGTTTTATTTAAAGTTATCACTTGGGACGTTGTTGTACCCCTCTCTCGCTGTCTATGGCGGGTACCCATTCCCACCTGGGTGAAGTGAAGAAAATTCGAGTACATGTATTAAAGTGTCTTTCCCAAGGACACAACGTCGGGCCCGCGGTTCAAACCCCCCGAACCCGCAACCTCACGAATACGAGCCTGGTAACCTTACCACTCGGCCACAGACGCCACTGTTATAATTATTAATATCATCTGAATGCAAATGGAGGAACCTGACCGTTACGCTGCAGGCGCAGGTGTGGTGTTTTGTATCTTAGTGTACGTGTTTTTACACCCCCCCCCCCCCCGTGTGCAAGTTGCGTACCGTAAAGATCCCTCGGTGGTCTAAAATTGATAAGAGTAGGCTTCGGCCGCCACCCGTGCAAAATTC